TCGGTGTTTATTTGTTTCTGTCACTCGTCACCCCCCGTGAACCCCGGCACCTCCACAGCCACCTACTTCCGGTCACTCCCGGGGTCCTCCCATGGCTGGTGGCGCCGCCTCCTGACGTCACTTCAGCACCGGCGGCCCTTGGGGACGTCACTTGAACTCCCCATCAGTTTAAAAATAAATAATGGGGTTGGAGGGAGACACTGTCTCTTGAAGGTGGTGAGAGGAAGCGGCCGGTGGATGTGAAAATTGTTAATGTTTAAAAAGAAAGGGTAGCGGGAAGGTTTTGGCGCGCTGTTATGACGTCACTGGGATCCGTAGTCCTGTCTCCTCGGGCTCCTGTTTATTTTTTAAAAATGTTTTAAATTTAATCTCCGGACAGTCACCAACCAGCATCTCCCCTCCAAACTCCAGACTTAGAGCCATGTGTCTGCTGCTGGGAGTTACCGGGGTGGGGAAAACTCTGCTGCTCAAGAGACTGCACAATATCCTTTAACCAGAGACTGGGCCTTTCCACTGAGTGAAAACCAGAGAGGGCCCGTGTACAGACATTATCCCCGAGAGGGCCCGTGTACAGACATTATCCCCGAGAGGGCCCGTGTACAGACATTATCCCCGAGAGGGCCCGTGTACAGACATTATTCCGGAGAGGGCCCGTGTACAAACATTATCCCGGAGAGGGCCCGTGTACAAACATTATCCCCGAGAGGGCCCGTGTACAGACATTATCCCGGAGAGGGCCCGTGTACAAACATTGTCCCCGAGAGGGCCCGTGTACAAACATTATCCCCGAGAGGGCCCGTGTACAAACATTATCCCGGAGAGGGCCCGTGTACAAACATTGTCCCCGAGAGGGCCCGTGTACAAACATTATCCCGGAGAGGGCCCGTGTACAAACATTGTCCCCGAGAGGACCCGTGTACAAACATTATCCCGGAGAGGGCCTGTGTACAAACATTGTCCCCGAGAGGGCCTGTGTACAAACATTGTCCCCGAGAGATTCTGTTTAAAACATCTATCCCGGAGAGAGCCTGTGTCAAACCTTATCCCGGTGAGAGCCTGTGTCAAACATTATCCCGGAGAGAGTCTGTTTAAAAACCTCATTGACACAATGTCCAGTCTGACCCTGATTTTGGATAGTATTGAGTCTGACCGTGATTTTTAAATCCATTTGGTCTGCCTATGATTTTAGATAGCATTAGGTCAGTGGGTCTGGTGCTGCCTGTGGACAAAAAAAAACGTTCAGTGTTTCAGGTCAGATATCATTCTTCTTTGGAATCAGACTCAACATTAACTCTGTCTGTCTCTTTGCACAGGTGCTACTAGATCTGCTGAGATTCCCCAGCAATTTTTCTTTTTACTTCCGCAATACTGAACTGCGTGTAAACCCAGAGTTTTGTGTTCAAGTCCCTCGAATAGGACCAAAAACCATCTTTAAAAATGATGCAGTGCCTCTAGTTTTATGTCAAAGACAAATCACATTCAAGCTTAGAATATTGAGGTACATCACAGACGTGAATATTTGCAGAACGTGATGTGAATTTATCTAGTTTTAAAAATACATGTCAATTCTTTCAATATTTACACTTTTTGGATCTTTGACCTATTTGCACAGATGTGTTCGAAAGAAGGCACTGAGGAACTGGGACAGCCTCCACCTACACTACCCACGGTACTGTCAGACTGACTTTTCAATGTCTTCAATAGAAGATTTGCAGCAAAGCTTTACCTGTTATGAGTTGGTATCCTCGGAGCATCCTAAGCAAGTGTCTGATCGACAATAGCACACGTTGTGCCCCTTCATTCTGAATCTGGCACAACTTTGCCAACACATGGATTTTCATGCCCCCACTCGCCTCTACTGTTCAAGGAAATTTTAACATCGTACTTAGTGTTTAGATTTCTCACAGTTGTTCAATCATTAAACTAAAAATTGTAAGACATGAGGAAATTGTAAGCATGAGCAAATTTGTTGATTTAGTCCTGTTTTGGCTATAAGTACCTTAGGACAAAATAAGTTTCTAACAGATGAGTCCTACAGTACAGACTAGGCCACCTTGTCTTCCAAATGTATTTTAGGTTATTCCAAAACATCAGCCAAAGTATTTTTGAAATGCAGTCTTGTTGTAATGTTGGAAGCATAACAGCAAATGTGTGAATGAACAACCAGTCTGGAGGCTATACCAGACTGATCTCCCAACCTCCTGATCCTCAGGTTGAAGCCTAGTGTGGTCTGGAGCCAAGGCCTGGCGCAGCCTGGAGGCTAGGTGCCAGCATTGACTAGGTTAATAGGCCATTGTTCTGAACTTTGATTTCTGCAATGCTGTACATTTTATTTCTCTATTTTCTAAGATCTTGTAACTAAAGAAGCTGAACCAAGCTACCTTTATACCTAAGATGGCTCTATAAGTGGCAATACATAAACCTTTCACTGTACTCATGTGAGTATATGTGACAATAAGGCTAATTCAATTCAATAAAACTAATTCCAGTAGGTGACTTTTGTTGGGGAAAAATGGTGGGCTTTAACCAAACTCTCATTTAAAGCTGCCCCTGCAAGATGGCACCTGTGACAACACTCCCTACAGTGAAGTACCAGCATAGAGTGCAGCTTCTAAAGTTGCAGTCTCACTCAGAAACTCACAGGATCCTAGGGAGGAAATCACAGGTGGAGCAAGTGGTGCTGTCTCCACATATAATAGGATCAGCACTTAGTGTCTTGTCTGAAAGACAGCATCCCGACAAACCTTGTCAAGCTAGTTTGTGCTAAGTCAATGTCTAAAACCACCGAGCACTACAAATGAAGGCCAAGCTGTCATTTAGATAGGGGCATTAATACAGTTTAAGGATGGTTCTTTCTCCTGGTAATCTTACACCTTGCAAGAGAGAACGCTCTCCAGCGTGAATTGCTTCACCTTTTGGATGTCCTGCTGTGGACTGCTTTCCAGCCCATTCTGGTACCTTATAAATAAATATTATTGCATTTTGCCAATTGGTAGCTGGCTCAGTCTGTAAGATTCTCACTTATGGAAAAACAGTTCCTTCATCTGTTCATATCCTGTACCTCAACTTCTCCCCGATGTGACCTTGGTTATTTCAGCGGAGTGCTGTTGTCTTTCACACAGGCTCTGGGATTGTCTCCACGGTGTCAGTGATAGAGAGGAGGCCAGCTCAATACATAGAAACATAGACAATAAGTGCTATTCAGCCCTTCAAGCTTTGTGTGCAGTTTCAGCCTGTTTACCTAAGGAAGCATGTTCTGGCTGTAGAGAGTGCGCAATGGAAATGTACCAGACTGATTTTTGGGATGACAGGACTGACGTATGAAGAGAGACTGGATCAGTTAGGACTGTATTCACTGGAGTTAAGAAGAATGAGAGGGTGGAATCACATACAAACCTATAAAATTCAAACAGGATTAGACAGTGTAAACACCGGAATGATGTCTCTAAAAACTGGGGAGTCCAGAACCAAGGGTCACATTCTCAGATATGGGGTAGACCATTTAGGACTGAGGAGAGAAGTTTTTTTTCACCCAGACAGTGGGGAGCCTGTGGAATTCTCTGCCACAGAAAGTAGTTGAGCCCAAAACATTGAATGTTTTCAAGAAGGATTTAAATATAGTTATTTGGGCTAAAGAGTAAAAGGACAAAGAGGGAGTAGGGTACTGAGTCAGATGATCAGCCAGTGATAATATTGAATAGGATCTATACATTACAGTTTCTGTCTTTGTCCAATGGGAAAAAGAAACCACAAGTAATATAGGATTCCAGCAGAATAGAGAGTGTGGGTAAAGGAAGACAAGTTTCAGGTGACACCATCCTTGTGTTCCAAGACCAAGGCGTCTGGAATGGAACTTGAAGAGCTTGACCTTGTGGGAAAGATTACAAAGATGCAATGAACCAATGAGAATGTAAATGACGCAGTAAATTATAACCTCTTGATCCAATTCAATTGAGCATGAAGTCATTCCAAGCAGAGAAAGGCCATTTGGCCCACTGAGTCCAGGTCAGCCCCCTTTCCCCTGGACCTATCCCTGTGGCCCAGTAAATGTATTTCCTTCAAGTTACCATCCGGTATCCTTTTGAAATCATCTCTTGCTTCCACTAACCTGGTAGACAGGGAGTTCCAGTTCACGGTGTAAAATAGTTGTAACAAATACCATGGCAAGTGTCTTCATTAGAGTTTGGAATTTCTAACCACGTGGAGCAGGGTGGGGGGTAGCAATGCTACATCAAAACTAGCCAAGCCGGGGAAAGGAATTGAAGGTTGTGTGTGTCAGGGAAACAGAGCTGGGAGAAGGCTTCTACAGAACGTAACCAACAGCTGTCTGACCAGTTTCTCTGCTACAAATTCTGTGTAATTTAAAATCTGATGTTGGTGATTAATACTTCCAACCGTGTCTTGGAACACAAGCTCACCATGACCAGTGAGCGTCTGATCTCATTTTGTTTTATAATCTGCTTTGCCTGCAGGTGGGAACTAATCTAACTGACCTCATGGTTAACAAGAGGAGATTTACCATTCGGGAACTAGGAGGCTGCATGGCCCCCATCTGGCCAAGTTACTACAGAGACTGCGAGGCTGTGATTGTGCGTATTGGCCGTTTGAGTCCTCTCACTAGCTCACTGTTAACGTAAAGCACGAGGACTGGTTTATTCTAGTTCAAAAATTGACATCCTGCCTGTACATCTTATTTAGAAACCTCAGTGCCAGCAGATGATGGACAGAAAAAAATCTCATGCACTAACAAAGCGACATTAACACCACGCCCTGATCTGTTTAATGATCAGGGCATAGTAAGGAGATGGGATCTTGGTTTCCTTCAGTGTATTCTCCCTGCTGTATCCATCCTCCTCCGCCCATGGAGCTGGGTGATTGCCTGTGCAGCTTCAACAGGGAGGCACGCTTATCTCAGCTGATTTTCTCTCTAGGTTTCCCACTCCCCCAGACAGCAATTCTGTGCTCAGGAGGTTCCCCGTGCCATCACAGAGATCAGGCCAGACCTGGCAACTGGAGAGAGAGAGAGAGGGAGATAGAGAGATAGCTTGCTCCAGCAACCCTGCTACTTGATACACCAATTCGTGACATTTCCACTGCCTCTAAAATGGTAAATGTTTTCCTCCTAGTTTGTGATCGACGCCGCAAATCCCACTCAGGTTTCCTCTTCCTGCATTCAGCTCCTCTCGCTTCTAGCTGCTGAACTGCTCCAACAAATATCAGTCCTAATTCTCTTCAACAAAGTGTGAGTATGGACACCAGCAGGGCGTGTCACAATGTATTCATGTGCTGTAGTCACAGCCCCAATACTTTGCACCCAGAACAAACCGTTATCCCAAGAATCCCTTTTCTCCATTACAGCTTTGTAATCACAGCTCTGATCACATTAAACCATCCTTTCTCAGGATAGTTCTGGTCCACTGTTGTTCTCACACTGATTAGTCTCAGTGAATTCACACTGCAAGGGAAGTGAGATGCCACAACAGAAAAGTTGACCTCATGGGAAAGATTACAAAGCTGCAATGAACCAGTGAGAATGTAAACGACACAGAATATTGTAACCTCTTGATCCTATTTAACGTTCAATTGAGCGTGAAGTCTGGGGTGAGGGGTGTACTACTGGGCAGAGAAAAGGGGGCTTTATTTGCTTTTGAACAGAACTTTGCCTACATCTACAGCTGGTGCAAAAGATGGCATTGCATGGGTTAGGTGGAGAGGGGTGGGAAGGAGGTATATGGTACACAGTGGCATGGATCAGTTGGGCTGAATGACTTGTTTCTGTACTGTAATTCGAGCCTTTATACCTGTATGATATAGCGGAAACTCAGAACAACGGTTCAGTTAGAGGGGTTTCTGAATATCTGAGCAGAGGAGTCTAATTGAGTTTCTGTTCATTTCAGTGATCTGCCCTGCTCCATGTCACTAGTGGAAATGAAAAGCCTGTTCAGGATGGATGACATAATTGCCTGTGCGAAACAGCACATTAGCATGTTGGAAGTTAGTGCGTGGGATGGCACTGGGCTGGATGAGGTCTTAAAATGGATTTATTCACACAAGGGCAGATGCCTACCGTGCCATAGACAGAACCCTCCATCCCACTGAGCTGTGATTACTCACAGCAGATAGAGAAGAACCCAGAGAGAGAGACTGATGGAATATGACAGTCGACTCAAAGCAATTCGAATGGAGGAGATTCACACTGTCGCCTGGAACTGGAGATGTAAATTCTGGACTGGAATGAGAAGGACTTTGCAAGAGAGTGATGTGATTCAAGTTGTTTGAGTTATGAACAGAAGCGATGGTGGAATCAGCAATACAGTTACGTCGAAGCAGGATCAAGTGATCATCCACACCAGCTTCATTTTAAACGATACCAGGCTTTTGTGGTAACACCTTGTGTAACTTGACAATGTCCTTGTGCAACTCAAAGCACAGCCACAAAAATCAGTTTGTTCTAAAAGTTCCTCTTATTAAAATCAATTTAAACCTTGCTGTATAATGTTAGTCTATTTCTTCACATTGCCCCAATCAGTGGAGATTACATGCAGAGACTGGATTGTAGGATTACAGTGTGGTTCAGTGTTTTATACTACCCAATACACAGACAGCACAGTCAATCTTTGCTAATGGTATCAGTCATTTATTAGAAAAAGGTAAAAAAAGTTAGATCTAAAAACAACATGAAGACAATTGGTAGACATAATGTGCTCTTCTGGAGGATGAGGAGCATTTAACAGACACCAGGAGGACTTGTAAACTGAAAAGTACATTTTCATGGATGGGTTGTACCTTTAACTTCAGAGAAAGAAATTCCAGGCAGATTCCTGCACCTTTTGATTTAAATTACTGGGTGTACCGACACCACCCAGATTGCAGGATTCAGAATGGCAGCTCAGTGATACCTTCGGGGGCAATTAGGGAAAGTGAAACACTTGTTGATCCAGCCAGCAGTGCCCACATCCTTCAGCAAACAGAAAAAGCTCCTTAAAAATAGAACCAAAAGGTTTTTTTTGGTGTCTGAAACCATCGACTGCTGCCGTGCAGTGTCCAGTGAGGGGAAACTCTCAGAGAAAGAAAAAGGACTTGTCAGTTGTCCACCATCCTGATCACAACACAGGAACAAGAACCTATTCAGCCCCGTGCCCATTCTTCCATCAGTGAGATTCTGGCCGATCTGTGACCTAACTCTTTCTCTTCCCCCTCCACCGCCAAGTACCTTAGCTTTCTGCTCACCAATCAATCTCAGATTTAGGATGAATTTACCAAATATCAACAGCCATTGAGAAGCAACTTCAAAACCTCCTCCAGTCTGATTGGATTTGTTACGGTCACACGTATGGAGGCACAGTGAATAAGTGCTGTCTTACGTCCTTTACAGGCAGATTGTACTGTAGAAGTGCATCAGGACAACAGAAAAAAGTGCAGGATGCAGTGTTACAGCTGTAGGAGGTGCAGAGAGAGAGAGAAATCAACAATAACATTAAATGGGTCCATTCAAAAGTCTAGTAACAGCAGGGAAGAAGCTGTTCTTGAATCTGTTCGTACACGTATACCAACTTTGTATCTTCTGACCAATAGAAGTTGGTGGAAGTGAGTATAACTGGGTTGGGAAGGGTGTTTGCTGGTTGCTTTCCTGAGACAGTGGGAAATGTAGATGTAGTCAATGGATGGGAGGCTAGTTTGCCTGATGGACTGAGCTGCGTTCACAACTCTGTATATAAGCGTTTCCTTAATTACCCTCAACAAAATTTAGACATTAGAGGCAGATATTTATCCCTGTAACTAGACTCCATCCAAACCATACTATCCATCTACAACCCGCTTCGGTAATATAATCTCTCTAGTCATATAATCCTCTATAATCAAGAAAAAAGGGTACTCTCAGAAGTTGACGTTTCTGTCTCAACCCGAAATGTCAGCTTTCCTGCTCCTCTGATGCTGCTTGGCCTGCTGTGTTCATCCAGCTCTACACCTTGTTATCTCAGATTCTCCAGCATCGGCAGTTCCTACTACTGTCAGAAGTTGTTTGGTCAACTGTGATGATAAAATATCTGTTGTTACTGAAGCCTGAGAACCTGCTTCACACTTTAACGGAAGATCATTTACTGAGGAGGGGCAACATTTAATGCAGCAGTTTAAAAAAAAAAAGCCTGTCAGTGCTGATCAGAAGTGTCCACTTGGTGCTCAACCTGCCCCTGTGCAAATAACCATTGTACTGCAATGAACTTTCTACTTTGACTATGTGACTTTTAAGAAAGAGATTGGGTAAAGGGCCTTCACTACAGCCCTACAATTTGACTGTTCAACAATTTAAAAACTAGGAAGGTCTTTTTTTTGAAAACGAAAATTGGTGAAGCTTCTCAATTTGTAATACACACAACATTTCCCTCAGGACAAAGAAATATTTAGAAGACTGCAGAAGTCTCGAGCTGGTGTGACAGTCTGAAAAGCAGGCAGTGCTTTTGGAGCAAACTCTTGGAGTCTGGCCAGGGACCCTTTCGAGTGACAATTGCTGAAGTAACTTCATTGCATCCTCAATTACTCACTGGTGTGTCTGGCAAAGAAATCATTCCTCAGCTGCTGTGGGATACAGCTTCCCCAGAAACCAGAAAACATGGTGTTTTTTTGTTCGGGGGAGCGGCGGCAGGGGTGGAGATCATAACCAGCATACAAAAATTAACAAAACCTAGGAGTGCATGTGCACACTGCTTCTCAAACCAATGTCATTAACAATCAAAATGGGCCGTCTCAGTCAAACAGCAATAAGATTGGGCACTGTACAATCTTGCCATATGCAGGAAATTTACATTCTGACCCAGCACAGAAAGAGGCCAGGATTGCAGCAGGTTGAAGACCACACACTATGCTCAGTGACTAGGAGCTCTGACTGAAAGAGTGGAATCTCAGACCCACAGCTTCCTGTCCTGAACAAACTGAAGTTGCTTGTTGCAATGTTTCCCTTCAGCCTGTCAGCCAAACCCCTCCCGCCCCCAAAAGTAAACCTTCAATATCCAATTTCGGAGTCTGGATGCAGAGCTGGCAACAGAAGGCTCCCAAGGTCAAACCGGTCAAACAGCACTAAAGCACAAAACAAAAAGCTAAATACCATGATAATTACAAAAATAAACTAGAGTTCGGACAAATCATTTGGTTAACATTTAAAATAGGAAAATATAAAATCACTAGACTGAAGAGACTGAGCAAGAGTGTGTTACGGAACATGTTCAAAACATCCAGTTGCCATTAATGGAGAGGTCCAAACCTTTCAGCGTCAATTGTGTCAGCGAGGACCAGCTCTCCTTGTTTGATCCAAGTGGGCACAGTGGTCAAGTTTCTCGCCTGATGGTATTACATTTACTTTTAACAGACTGATCGGTTTGTGGAGCTGCCAGTTCTTGGCAGAGAGGTAGTGCTTTCAGGCTAGGTATACAATCTCTCAGTCTGGTCGAGTAGCGGTTTCTCACTCTCACGCAGCTCACGGGTGCGGTCATCTCCTGAGATGAAGGAAAGGTACAGAAACATATTTCTCACAGAGACCCTGTCAGAACCCAGCTTCTAACCAGACCAACGCTTCACTGTTCTCTGGCCACTCGCCAAATAAATAGTTTAAACGCTTACTTCACACAGTTTTGCCCATTTGACACGATCTCACGATTTTAAATTCATGTGAAAACAAATGAAATGTTTTAATGAGTCAAAATTCAAACATGTTGTAGAAATGGAACAGTGAAGGATACAGGAAGGAAATTTAGTCAGGAGCTCCCTCCACTGGCTAGGTAATACACTGCACCATACAGCAGAGGGGTGGTAAAAGAAAGAAATTTATCCTTATATAGCAACTTTCACTGTCATAAAGCACTTGGCAGCCAATGAAGTACTTTTGAAACACAACTACTATTTTGTTACAATGCAAAAATGGTGCAGCTAATTTGTGCACAGCAAGCTCCCACAAGCAAAGTCTAAATTTTAAAAAAAAAAGTGAAGTTGCTTGAGGAATAAATACTGAGCAAAACATGGAGGAGGAGTTCCCCTGCTTTATTTCAAAACAGTGCCATGATAGAGATCCTCAGTTTAACTTCTCAGCTGAAAGAGGGAACCTCAGAATGCAGGACTCTCTCAGCACTGGACCGTCAGATTAAATGAGGTTGGCTCTGGAGTGGGACTCAATGCATCTTTGTCGGTTGAATCAGAAGTGCACAGTTCCGACAGGTCACACTACACAGTGCAAAAGGAGCAGACCAGCAAGAAGCTAATTCTATCCAAGTTAGAACGGGGAGGGGAAAAAGAAAGGAATCCTCCTTCTGACTACAATACAGAGGACGTCAGATTGAGTTTGACAGCAATAGGCTGATGCTCAAGCCCGTGTAAAAAAAAAAATGAGCAGCACCAGAAGGTAGTTCAGAGACATTCGAGAGGCCATTGATGATTTATTTCGATAGAAATGATGTGCAGGGATATGGGGGAAAAAGGACAGAAGCGTTGCAGACCTTGATGGGCCAAATGGCCCGCTTCTGTGCTAGTGAGTGAGAAAAGCAGTGACTGTGAGGTGTACACTATCACAACTTAACAACCACAGTGAGGTGACAAAGGCAGGACTGCAAGGAAGAATTTTGAAACAAAAAAGGTGCAAAGATGTTTTGTGATTCAAGGAGCAGTTTGTCACTTAAAGCTCACACCACTGGTTAAAAAATTACCATTCAGTACAAAAAAAACGAGCAGAATGAAAATTTTGTTGCCTCTTCATACCAATGATAAAAACCATAATTAAATCCCCTAATGTGGGTTGGCAGGACACGAGTTTGTACCAATTTCACCACACTGCTCAGGGTCTCGATAGAAACCAGCCTGACACGCGCGCGCACGCACACACACACAAAGAGACGGAAAATAATCCCAATTGTTATGAAACATGTTATTACCGTGTAAGTAACGAAGCGCTGCCTCAGTGCTATCAAAATGTCTCAATCCTTCGATCTCTGCTGAAGTCAGTATCGACAGAATCATAGGCTAAAATCAGAAAGAGTAAGTGTTAGAGGCCAACAGCCCACAGAAAGGGCCTTCAGCCCATCACGTTTGTGCCGGTTCAAAACAGCTTCTTATCTATTCTAAAATCACATTTTCCAGCACTTGCCCATCACCTTGTATTCTTTGGCATTGCAAGGTAGGCAGTTATTCTGCCAGACTCCTGGATGAATTAACAGAGAAATGGATACTTTAATGAAAATGTGAAGATTTGGACATTTCCACTCCCAGCAACGTGATGCTATTATAATTTTACATGCACCAAACGTCCAACAGCACAGTGCTACCTCAGGGCAGCATGGAGAAGCAAATGGGTGACATGTTGGCAAATGGAGTCTAATGTGGGAAAATGTGAAGTTCAGTTTGGAAGGGAGAACAAAAGAACAGATTACTATTTAAACGGAGAAAAGCTGCAGAAAGTTACAACACAAAAAAAGGGACTTGTGGGTATTTGTGGACAAAAAACAGAAAGCTGCACACAGATGCAGCAGGTAATCAGGAAGGGTCCTGGAATGTTGGCTCTCATTTCAAGGGGGTTGGAGTATAAGAGTAAGGAAGCCTTACTGTAACTGTACAAGGTGCTGGTGAGACCACATCTGCAGCACTGTAATCATTTTTGGTCTCTATTTACATAAAGATATCACTTCATTGGAGCCCATTCAGAGAAAGTTCACAAGGATGATCCCTGGTACAGAGGGATTGTCATGTGAGCAAAGGTTAAACAGGCTGGGATTTTACCGAGTGGAGTTTAGAAAGAATGAGGGGTGATCTCATTGAAACATATTGGATTCTTAAGGGGCTTTACAGGGTAAATGCTGAGAGGATGTTTCCCCTTGTGGAAGAGTCTAGGACTAGAGGGCATAGCCAGGTTAATACTGAGATGAGGAGGTATTTCTTCTCTCAGAGAAGAGAGTCTTTGGAACTCCTTACCACAGAGAGCTGTGTGAGCAGAGTCCTTGTATGTATTTAAGGCTGAAATAGATTCTTGATCTGTCAGGGAATCAGCTACGATCCAATTGAATGGCGGTGCAAGACAGAGGGGCCGAATGGCCTACTCCCTGTTCCTTTTTTTTTAAAAAAATGGTCTTACGTCAGAAACCTACACACAGTCGTGGTACTTTACAATGCACACAGAGAGATGCTTAATGCTGGGAACAAGTGCCTAGAACAGAGGGGATCATCTTCAGGAGCTCACTGTGAGGATTAAATTCACAAAATACACAATGCAGTGGCTTGTACTTTTTTAATGTGCCTTTAAAATGTGGTCCCAAAGTGCTTTTCAGGAACAACAAGAGAACCAGGCATCACGAGGAATTCAGACAGGTAACCCACAGCTGGTGTTAAAGGACTGTGATGGGTTTACAGAGGGAATGTCAGCGTGGCAGCTAAAGACAGAGCTGTCAACGGTGGTTCGATGAAAAATAAAAAGGAAAGAACAACACGGGACGTGAAAAAAAGTGTTGGGAGTACATACCCGGAAATTAGAGAAGAGCAGGGACACGTTGTGCTGCTGGAATGTCTGGATCAGTTCCTGTAGGCCATTCACTGTCGTGTAGTCAATGCTGCTGACATGAAGACAGTCAAGGATCACAGACTGTGGAGGGGATGCTGTGCAAGGAAACATTACACGTCATTAAAGCAGAACAATTGTTAATCCTCAAGTCCGTTACCGCACTTCAACCCACCGTTTTCACATCCACATGTGGTTCGATGGGACCACTTGTTCTCGTGGGTAAGACATTAGCAGGCTATTTGACTGCAGGAGCATCACCCTGTCTTCCCTTTACAAACTAAGCCCACTATCTCCAAATGGAATTCAGCACCAACTTGAGCTGAGATGCAGTCTTTCTAGTCTGCTCAGCTCACTCCTCTCACTGTCAACTAATGTGTATCCTACAGCAATGACCAACTCCTACCACCCCCCATTTCATTTCGGACTCTTGGACTCCCCTGCTTGCTTTGGACAGAGACTCTTGTCCACTCTATCAGTTACTCCTCACCAAGAGCAATGAGCAAGTGAAAAGAAGGAGATGCAGAACAAGTTTCTGAAAGGTTCTTACACACTCAGACCCAGGCACACACAGGTCACCATTGGGCTACTGACTGTAACCTTTATTTCAGTTGGGGAATGGGAGAGTTACTGGCTTGGCCAGCATTCATTTCCCATTCACATTGCCTTGGAGAAGGTGATGGGGAGCTGCTTTCTTGAACTGCTGCAGTATTTGGTGATGGGATCACCCAGAAAGCTATTAGAGGAGTTCCAGGAGTTTGACCCAGTGACATGGAAGGAACCTCTTTTCCGAGTCAGGATGGTGAGGGGCTTGGAGACAAGGCAGCAGATAGCGATGTTCCCATGTTTCTGCTCCCCTTGTCCTTCGAGATGACAGTGGCTGTGGGTTTGGAAGGTGCTACTGGAGAGGCCTAGGAGCCATGACAGTGTAACTGCTCTGCTACGGAGCGTTGGTGGTGGAGGGAGTGGATGTTGAGGGTGGTGAACTGGATAGTGATTAAGCAGGCTGCAAAAGCTACGGAAGAGACCAAGAGTAAAATGAAAGTGCTAACAGCGGAGAAAATGGGCAGGAAGGGATGTCGATTCTAAGTAATCCACTCAGTGGCTTCAGTATCAATGCAAGTCAATTGGGAAGGCAAATAGGTAATTTAGGATGGAGGGAGATTGTGACCAACCAGGGAAGAAAAGATTGTGCTATTTAAAGCTGGTAGGTTCAACAAGGAGTCCAATACAGGATTAAGGACAGAAGCTATTGAGCAACAGAGATGTTTTAGATAGTTAGAGTTGCAGTTTGTAAGGGAAAGGTAAAGTCACCATAGTCCTACTGGATCATAGGGACAGACAGGGGGAGGGGGAGACAGTGGTGGTTTAACCAGAGGGTCACCATGCCTCAGGTGAGGGGAGAGGGTCAGAAGGGGAGTCCCTCATGGTAACCCCAGCCAGAGCAGGAACTGAACCCACACTGCTGGCATCACTCTACATCACAAGCTAGCCCTATCACCGCTGATACATTTAAATATTGTTATAACAATGGTTAGGGTTGCAGACAGGAAAGTGGAATGGTGGAACAAGCTCTGAGTGACCTACTCCTGCTCCCAAAGTCTGTGTTCCTGGAGGATGATCCGTTCGAATGCAGTAGCTCCCGTGTCACCAGCGTGGGTGACGGAATCCCAGCTCCAGTGAGGGATTCCTCAGAATGACAACTAGTTCAATCCCTGCATTGTACTAACGGGGGAGAACCTGGGGGACTAGCGCAGGAGCGCTGAGGTTTCCACTTACCCTCTAACACCCGCCTGTATAGCAGGTCACAGACATATTCGACAGCAGGGAAATTCAGACCACTCTGTAACTGCACCACAACTGTATTGTAATCAGAAATCTGAGAAAGAGAGAGAGAGAGAGAGAGAGAGAGAGAGAGAGAGAGAGAGAGAGAGAGATTAGACTCCTCTCCTCTGCTTCCACACAGCTCATTAATCTCCATTCTTACACTGTATAAAAGGGTTAAGCCACACAGATACAATTGAAATCCAAACAGTGAATGCTGAAAGACTCAGCAGGTCTGGCAGCAATTAATGTTTGCATGAAATGATTTCTTCGGAACTGGAGAAAAACTTAACATTTTGAAGAAGAGATATGGGACTCAATGTTAACTCTGTTTCTCTTTCCCCTCCAGACATTGCTGAGTCTCTCCAGCACTTTCCTTTATTTCAGAATTCCAGCATCCAAAGTATTCTGCTGCTATTTGAGCATCGTGTACAAATAACCTGCTGAGGTGCTATCCCTGGGCTCGACTTCCCACTCTTGCTTTTATAAATCAACTGTATGTGTCAGTTGAAGGAATTTGCAGGCAGAGATAGACACACAGACCTCTACCCTTACTACGTTGTTGGAAAAGAGAGAGAGAGAGAAAGAGATACAAAAGACAGGATTACAACCTCCCAGCACCCTCCCCAGCCCAGCCTGCTGTGTAAAAGGTACTCTCTCTCTCCTCCCTTGCCCAGGGGCAGTGGAGTACCACCTGTAGACCCCAGCTCCACACACACTTCCTTTACGAGCCCCAACACCACAGTAGCAGGATTTACCCACCGGGGGCGGGGAGAGGGGCAGACACTAACCAACCCACCCAGAGGCATCCAGTCAGTGTGAGCTCCCTGTTGATAAACACAGCCACCGGGAAAAGAAATTGACACGTTCCTTGTGCTGTGGGCAGGCTGTACCCAGCTGGTAAACTGGACATTTTTATAATCAATCCCAAATTACAGACAGACACTATACTACCTTCATCTCTGGTCTGGCGACGTTATAAAGCAGAATTATCCCAGACAAAGCAATTCCAGCCAGAATTCCATACTGGATTTCCCAAAAACAACCCAGGAATGATGCCAGGAAAGGGAGCAGGTCCAGTTCTGGAGAAAATAAATAGAACACAGGATCACTTGATGTGCTCAGTGCTAGGGTGCAGTTGGGAGTTATTCCTGCAGCAAAAGAACACTCAGGAGATTAAAGAAAGGGCTGACGAGGAACAAGCTAGGATCATACACTACACATTTTAGCCACGTGTGGGCAAGCTAGCATCACAATGCTTCAGGGTTAAAGCAGATCACATTGAGAGAGATAGTAGGAACTGCAGATGCTCGAGAATCTGCGATAACAAGGTG